CCCTAAACCAAGGGTCGCCAACCGCTGATCCGGGGACCACTGGCGGTCCGTGAGGTCTGAAAGGTTGGCGACCGCTGCTCTAAACCATAAAGGCAAATTGTATGAAATGTTAGCTTTTATTTAAAAACTAAAATTTTTTTTAAACTAAATTTTGAAATGGTCACAGCTGAGTACTAATATTATGGGTAATTATATTTTTCTTCTGGAAATTCTTTTTCCAATGTTTTTGTGTCAAGTGTATGAGATTTATAATCAAGAGAATATTATTTTTTTAATTGAGTTTTGTAAATAAGAACATTTTTAGAGTGTGTAATGTAGTACTTATATTAAGGAGCATTATGAAAGTTTAATGGAATCATTGAATTGATGCTCTTAGAATAAAAACAGGCCTCAAGGGATCGTTGGCATAATGTTAAGTGGAAAAATCAGGGTACTGACTGAGTGTATATATGGCAGCGGTGTTTTATTTAAAATTCAAATGCGTAGAAAAAAATTAGGAAATGATATAAAAAACTCTTAATGGTTTGTTATAGACTGGGGCTATAGTTTTTTTGTTTTTTTTCTTTGCTCTACTTTTCAAATTTTCTTGATGTGGTTATGTTGAGGTGTGTCTTTCAAGCAATTATTTCATTCTATAGCATCCTATGGTATTACTATCTTAGGTGGATTTACAGATAAAATAAACCACTCTTTGCCCTAGCTGGTTTGGCTCAGTGGATAGAGCGTCGGCCTGCAATCTGAAGGGTCCCAGGTTCAATTCTGGTCAAGGGCACATGCCTGGGTTCCGGACTTGATCCCCAGTGGGGAGGCAGCTAATCAATGATTCTCTCTCATCATTGATGTTTCTATCTCTCTCTCCCTCTTCCTTCCTCTCTGAAATCAATAAAAATATTTTAAAAATAAAAATAAACCACTTTTTCAGCTTCCAGATATGCTTATGAAAATGGAAGAGGGCAGAAATGACACATGGGACCAAAATAAAAATTAAGAGTCCCCCACAGAGGAAGAAGAGGGCTGCTTCTGCAGTGGCACTTCCTTTCATAGGTGCCCCATGTACTTGCTGCCTGGACAAAAACCTGCAAGAGTTGCAAAACGCTGCTTTACCCACCAGAGTGGAAATCATGGCCCAGCATCTGAAATAATATAATCCCATCCGACCTGCGGCCTGTTTTCTTGGGGAGAGCAAGGAGCTGTGGTTTAGGAGAATCTCCTCATTTGTTTAACATAGTGTGTGTGCTGGACACGCAGAGCCTTTTAAACAAAGGGAGAATTAATTATTCAGGATTTCTGTGTCTAAGAAATAGAGACGCATAGGAAAGTTCATAGTTTACATTTGTGAGTAATTTTATATTTTATATCACCTGAATGAATTTAAAGGAGTACATTTTTAAAAATAAATTATGGATGGGACCATATTGAAAAGAACTTTTTTATGGGAAAAAAAATATTTTTTTCTGCATTCCGTGACTTAAGAAGAGTTCCCCCCCCCCCCATTTACTTCCTCTCAATAATATGGGAATAAGAAAAGTGTATTGCAATTTTAACAAGAAGAAGAAAATATGGATAACTCCAAATTTGAGTCTCTGGAAAGTTCTGGAGAAAAAAAGAGCAGCCGGAAAAACTTGAGTACCCTTTGGGCACAGTAAATGTCTTTATTGCTCCATCAACTGGAAGCTTAAAGCCAAACTGTCATTCTGTCAGATAGGCAAACTTCTCAGGAGGCAAAGCTGAACTTCCTAGGTTTCAAAATAAATGCAAACCACTGAGTGGTAACAAACTGAAGAACAATTTGCAGTTCCAGTACCTCTAGCACAGTGGTTCTCAACCTTCCTAATGCCACGACCCTTTAATACAGTTCCTCATGTTGTGGTGACCCCCAATTTCATTGGTGCAAATTGAACATAATTAAAGCATAGTGATTAATCACAAAAACATGTAATTATATATGAGTTTTCCGATGGTCTTAGGTGACCCCTGTGAAAGGGTCATTCGACCCCCAAAGGGGTCACGACCCACAGGTTGAGAACCATTGCTCTAGAAGAACATTTTAGAGCTGAATTTGAACATAAGATGCCTAATTTAAACCGGATATAAATACCCTTTTCTGATTGGATAGTGCGAGAAAATATATGTTTGTTTTTACCAAATCTTAGCCCATATGAAAAGCGGGAACATTGCTGAACCCCAGGTTGTGGGCATATTATTGCATTCACACTATTAGTTGGTCACCTTCCTCTCTTAGCCGCCCTTGAAGCTGTGCTGATGGCCTGTGACTCCCAAGCAATCCAGACTGTGGAACTCACTCTCTAGTGGGACCCATGAACAGACTGTGTCTGCAGAAAAAACACAAACCTCCTTCCAGTGCAAATTTTAGAAATGTTTTTACAGGACACTTTCCAGGAAAATGCTGGGCTGGAGAAGGCTCTAACTCCCTTCAGGTCCACTGACTGCTCACTTTGTTTCCCAGCCCGATTTTTAATTTACCTTCTTCATTCCCTGGACTTTCCCGATGGGAAGAGAAAGCCTCTCGTGTCGTGTTCCCCGAAACTTGTCCTTTGAATCCAGGACACTGTGGAGTGTTGCTCTGTGCAGCCCAGCAGATCAGGAGAGGGCTAAAATAATGGCTACATTATGTGAGTTTGTTGAGCCTGGAAAAACTGGACCTAACCAAGAGGGATTTGGGTAGCTTGTGGGGTAAAGACACTGCAGGGGCCGTTTATTTGTGTCAACAGGCCCCCTCCGTGGGCTGTGGGCAGTGCTGAGCTCCCTGCTTGTTTCAGACCCTGGGCCAACGCTGGACTGGCTTTTCTAGTAATTGCAAGAAGTTTGTACAGGGCCCAGAGATTTGAGTTGCCAGTATGAGACTTTAGACTAGAAGCATTTTAAAAGGTAGAACATTTAACAAGATAGACAGTGCAAGGGCAGGCTTACAAAAAAAAAATTATCTGTTATCTGTATGGTTTTACGTATGCTTAGTATGTTGCCTATAGAACGTTTGGAAGGCAATTTCAGCAGGCGTTTGGAAATTCAGGTGTGGAAAGTAGATTTGGAGTCCTCCGCGGGAGGTGAGAACAGGCTAAAGGTAATGAAATGGTGACTACTTGTGGATGTTTCCTTGTATAACGACAAACCAGGTGTAACCAAACCCTTTATGAAAAGCTCCCTCTGCTCAGTACAGCTTAGAACATGATCCTCAAGGATAGGGGTGCTTTGTGTATCCATGGCTCTGCCTCCTGGGAGGATATAATCAGTGTCTCCAGAACAGGGGCTGCCTCTGCTTTCTGACGTAACATTTATAGCAGCATTCTCTTATGACAGTAATTTATAACGGTAATTCATTGGGGGGCTGTCTAGAGCCACCTCTAATTACAGACATTCCCATACCTTATTCAGTTCACTGAGTACAGCCAGTGTCTCTGTACCACACACTCACTCAGTGTTTCCATCTGCTTATTTCAGGTTTCATCGTCCGTAATGAGGTGCGAGACTCTTTGGAAACATAGACTGATCATCTTTGGGGGCAGCCTCGCTTCCTAAACGCCTGATACTGCATTGCACTGGGATTTGACTATGTGTGTTTCCATTTAACTTGTGGTGAAGGAAGCGTGTGGAAAGTGCTCCCCACCTGTACAGCCCAGATGTGGCCAACAAGCCAAGGGTCGGGTATAGTGACCCTGCTGCCCAGCATGGGCACTGGTGGTAAGGGACACAATGGTTGCACCAGTTATTCTTCATCAGGGGTTTTAATCAAAGAAGATGAGCAGAAGACAATCGCTGGCTCCCTGTTACCAGAAAGCCAAATTTTAGAGTGCAGGTTAAAGGCGGTGAGCCGGGGATGGAATGTCTGGGCACTGGTAAGGGGCGGGGGCTGAAAAACAGAAAGAAAGAGAAAATTTCATTATGTTAATGAAAAAAGGACATTGAAACTTAAATGTATTTTTGAAGAAGGCTTTTGATAGCTGAGAACTTATTAAGGGCTTGGGGGTCTAGTCACCCCCTGTGGATTCCTTAGAGACCCGATCCTAGAAGAATATTCTTTCACCCTTATGTTGGTGCAGTAGAGTACCATTATTTTGTATTGTGCCAGTGAATCTAATTGCCACAAATAAGTCTGAGTGTTTTCATGCATCTTTTTCTTAAATGCAAGAGGCTTTCATGGACTTTTAACAAGCATGCTTACCCAAATTCTGTTGCATGCTTTAAGTAACATAGCTATACACACTTCACTTTTTTTTTTAGACTCTTTACCTAATGCACCAACCTCCTGCAAGGAAAACAGGACTGGGAGTAAATTCAGATGGGATGTGACCCTATTAGTCTGTAGCAAGCTTTAGAAATAAATCTGTTGGTCTTTCCCGAGCTTGATTATCTTCAAAGTTGAAACAACCATGCTTGATCTAAGGAAGATAATATTGACAATCACATCTTTTTAAAAATCCTGAATCCAAAATTAAAACTTAAGCAAGATGCAAGTGTTCTTCCCGCAGTTAGCTTTGAGTGGGACTGCAAAGGAATACTTATTTTCAGTGCTGCATTAAGTTGGATTGCTGCTATTAAAAAGATAAAGTACATGGATCAAAAAAATAAAAACTCACCCAAAGATATATAAGAACACGGAAAATTTTTGCTAAGTTGAGAATGAGGAGAATCTCATTTTGTGTTTTATGTCTCTGCAGATTGCATCCATAAATATATTGACTTTCAGTGCAAAAAAAAAAATAGGTGACTTTAAAGTTATGGAAGGTGTCCCTATGAGCCTACAGTCAGTATTGTTTACATTAATAAACCCTCTATTTCATTTTACTATTTTCCATGAAGTCACAGGCACAGCATGGCTTCTGCTCTCAAACATGTGACCACATGTAAATACCACCTTGCATTTCATTGTTTGTTCACAATTGTTTTGGGCCCCCTTTTATTAAAAACACATGCTTTGTGTAATAAGACAAGACCTAACTAGACTTATTTTCTGAAATGATTCTGATTCATAATATGGAGGACTATAATTTTCGATCTCAACCAAAAAGCAAACATTTCATCTGGTGGATAAATTTGGATCCTGCCATTTATTTATATTTGATATTTTAAAGAACTCCTTGAAATGGGGGGTGATTTTGCTTAAAAGTGAAAAAAAAATTGGCCCATTTAGTCTATTACAACAAACCAGGACCATTTATAACTGAAAATTGACCACCATTGTTGCACCTCTTGCCACACTCAGCCACATGCTGTTAGTGAAATGGCGTAGGATTTCTGCACTGGTGTCATTTCAGTAATAGGATCAGATATATTTTTGCTCTGAAAAGATGTTTCTGCATGCCAAGTGGGTTTCTCCAGCAGAGGTTGAGTCCATTTCATAGTGCTTACATCCAGCTATAGACATGACCTATGTTCTCATTTTTTGCTGAAGTCATTACATTATTTTATTATTATTTTGTTGTCTTAGGAAAAATACTAAGGAATGTAATGTTATTTTAATTTTCTATACTTACGATTTTTTAACAAATCACAAGGCCTCACTTCCATAAAAATGGTAAACATAAGACATCACTGTTTTATTACTCCTATACATGTCAAAGGAAGTCCCCACTTAGTTGATAAAAGGCACAGCTTTTTCCCCTCTAGTGGTGCATGAAATGCAATTTTTTATTCCTACAATGAGTGCACCCAAACAAAAATGAGAATCTGGTGCCTCGATCCATTGTTTTTCTTGTATGATAGGTCAGATTTAGGAACTACCCACACTTTTTCTTCATACTGATTTATATGCTTAGAGAAAATTTTAAGAGACAAGCTTAAAAGTAAGTAACTAAATAAATAAAAATTAGGTGTGACTAGTCTAAAATATAAGACTTGGAACCACCAGTTACTTCATTCATTGATTCTTTAAATAAAAAGCTGTGGAAAGAAACGAAGGGTTGTGAACTAAGCTGTATTCTGCAGAATGGGCTCTATTTCCATAGCTAATTCTAAAAGGCGGAAACACTGCATACCCACCTCAGCAGCCCATCCAGAGGCCTCGTGCTGGGGAGCCCTGGAAGGATGTGAAGATGTGAACACCACCCCCACCCCTGCAGTACAAGTATGCCTCTGCCTAAGCCTTTCTACAGTTTCAGCATTTCTGCAATCCAACCCATACGCTGCAGTTCTGTGGAGAAAATAAATGTGTGTGTTAATTGTATTGTTGTGACACAGCTCCAGGTTAGGCTGAAGTGTGTGGGTTTTCCTGAGTCTCCAAGATGTGATTCAGGGGAAAAAACAAATCCATCTCCAGGAAGGTGCCAGGTAGGAAAGAACTAGACAGACTGTAAGTAGCCATTTCCATCATTCCTAAAATGGAGAAAGGAACATTAGCATTAAGGGCTTAAAAAGATGCCATGGGCTTAGCATCTTCAGGGTCATTACCAATCAGCCTGACAAATGAGACCTCTGGTGAGCAGCATTAATTTAGGCCAGCCTGCCTGATAGTTTCCTGTGTATGCGAAATGTCTTGCATTTTTTATGGTCAATATTGTTCACCCTTATGTTAACACCTTAAATTATTTACATTAAACCTATAATATTCAGAGAACCATTTTGGGTATTTCAATAACTTTTAAATGGAGGAAAAGGCAAACTCATCTCTCTGTCTCTGAAAAACTGACTTTCTGGTTTTATTTTTATATCCTTTATTAGTACAATGATTTTTCACCTATCTTTTTCTACTGTTAGTAAATATATTCTGTAAGTAGAAAGTTCTGAAATTTAAGTGAAGATCTATTTGAAGACATAGAGGAATTGAATATACCCTTCAAATATGACCCGATATTGAAAATGAGAGATAAGTTCTTTAAACCCATAATTCGGGTTTTACACACTGCAATTAATTCAGTGCTGCACTGGCACTTTTAAAAAAATACAGTAACTTATAGGAGAGAAAAATCTGCTACACGCCTATAAGTTCCACACTTTAACACATAACAGCCATTATATGTATACTTAATGGAGTCAGACAGACACAACTTTCAAAAATTATACTGTATTCACAATAGAAAAAGGAAGTCTTGTCTACCGCATAGTAGTATGCCCACATTTAAACAGGGAAGGTTTCTTTTCTTCCTTTCTTGCTCAGAATTTTCTTCAGTGTTATTATTTTGTAAGTGGTCCCAGCAGCACATTTCACAGAGTGAGAAATCTCTTTTAGAATAGGTGAGAAAAAATCAAACTTGTACAAGACATATAAATTTATGTCATTTCATCAGTATGGTAGCTCATGCATTCCTAAATTCCAATCATATTTTAAGCCTAACCTTACTAGTAAAAGTATATACTTTGAAACAAAAGTTGATTTTTTCATATCGTTAGAATACGCTGTGAACACTAAGAAACCACTTAGATGCAGTTTCTTACCAAGTTGTCTCTTGGCCATTATTGAGTATTTGCTCTCTATTGGTACTTAGGGGTGGGCTATATCAGTGCGTTTTATTTTACTAAGCAGAATGAACTTCTAGAACTAAAGTCCTAGAGGAGAAAAGTAATCATCAAATTAATAGGCCCATCTTTCTGAGAGAAAGCACATTTCTGGCTAGTTCAAACCTAAGTTTCAAAGAGTAGCATGGGACTCTACTATAATTTGGCAGTGACCAAAGGGTGGCAGGAACAAAGGCAGAGTACTCCCAGACCGTTCTCGTTCTCTCTCTCTCTCTCTCTCTCTCTCTCTCTCTCTCGTCTTGTATTAAGTATCCTCTCTCTCTCTCTCTCTCTCTCTCTGTAATCATTATGCTTTAGCTCTGTATGGAAATGTGCACCGCCACTAGTATTTCTAGAAAACAGCAGAAACATAGACTACTTAAGCTTTTTCAAAGACAGGGCCATCCCAAATGAACAAATCCCATTGTATAAGCAGTAAGAATTCTAGGAAGAAAAAAAAAGGAGAATACTATGGCAGTTATTCCCACTGAGAGCCAACTTATAGGCAAGGGAGTCATTTTTAGCTATGCTAGGATTTGCTGCACACACACACACACAGGCAAGTCATCTTGCTTGTTGTTGCACTGCTAGCACAGCTGTACATATGAGCAAAGCACTGTGGATCAGTGTTTCTCAGTGGGGATGCTGTTGGCATTTGGAGCTGGGCAATTCTTTGTTGTACAGAAATGTCCCATACATTGCAAGCTGTTTACTATCCCAGGCCCCTGCTGACTAACTGCCAGTATTACGCCCAGTAAAAATCAAATGTGAAAAGCCTTCCCCCATGTTCACATGCCCTCCGAGGAGGGCAGTTGCCCCTCCCGTGAATACCACTGTCTACTGCATTTTAGGGCATTAAAAATGCAGGAAAACTGTCTGTCTCAAAACATGTCTCTGCTGCCTTGCATTTCTTTGGGCCTTGAATCATTTCATCCCCCTTCATTTCTCGAACCTTCTGCTTCGATGCAGCTTTAATTTGCCCGTTCTTGAGGGAGGTGGCTACTGGCCAGCCATGGCGGTTCTAAAGGGCATATTCACTTGGGTCGTCCCTGGACGTACTTAACGGAGAGATTTCATAATGAGCAAACTTTTTCATTTTTTGACCTCATAATTTTACTTGAGAACTACACTGTTGTGCATGATCCTTGTCAATGTCACAAGGATCCTTGCATAGTTTAACCACAAACGTGATGGTTGACAGTCCACATAAACAAAACCTGTGGTCTATGAGCATTACCATTAGATTTTTACCTGGGAAGCTGCAACTTATGAGTTCCAAAACAATCACCTGTTTATCCTATGAAAGAAGCATTTAATCCACATGCCAATGTTTGAATTCCCCCTGTATACATGTAGTTATGTAGCTCAACTTTCCTAAAATTTGTGAATATTGAATTGTGAAGGAAATGTGGGGTAGGTGTGGATTGTATCTACATTTGCTTCTATACTTCAATGATGATCATGCCCCAAACAGGATGAGTTTAACCTAGGTGAAACATTATTACACTATACTACCAAAACCTAAATATACTTACTCTCTTTGTTGCTTTTTATGACCAAACCAGAATATTAAATATGTCTCTGAAATGATTTGGATGAACTGTGGCTAATAGAATGGAATTAATTTAACCACTGTAATTTTTTTAAATACTCAAATTTCTAAAACATCTTTTTTGAGAAAGAGCAACTCAGAATCGACAAAGGTGGTTATATTGTGAACTTTTAGATGGTGCTTAAGAATTCTTATCTTGTTAAATATCAGTATTTCTTTTTTTAAAATAATAAATTGAAGGGAGTAAATAAGGCAGAATGCCACTCCACCCTCAGGTCAATTTTATGGTATATAAAAATGCCAATAATATTTGTGCCACTTACCAATATGGGGGAGAGGTCGACTTTTCCCTTACTGGATGCTTTCATTATAGTTTGACTATACCATTATGTTGCTAAGAGAGCCTCCACAAGGAGAAGTCGCCATTGCAAGGCTAACAAGGGTTCGAAAATAATCTGCATGAATTGGGTCAAACCACTTTCATTACTTAAAATATAGGCACTGATATTTTTATATATTTTTAAATATTCCTTCTGTGGCTTAGACATGTGCCAATGTGTTCACGACATTCTGAACCAACTTCACCAGATATAGTAACCTACCTACATTTTTTTGTCTATAAACAGTCATTTTAAAATAAAGAACTATATTTGGTCTTGTGTTATTTCAAGCTTTGGTTAAAATAATGAGGGTGGTAAGCTGTGACCACTAACAGACAGACTGACTGATTCCTGATTTCCAGTGAGTGAGCTGACCCACATATTGCACAGGTGTACTCTCTGTGAGTGTAAATAACTGGAACTGTACACCGATGAACATGACAGTTTCTCTTTCCTGTTGCTGTTGTTCTTGACCTGCACTGTATTATAGAATGTGGGTATAAATAGCTCCGAGTGTACACACATATGTATATGTATCCCACTATCATAACCTGAAAGAAAGACTATGTATTATCTTTTTTATTCTGTACTGGTGTTTGTGTTATTTAAAAAGCAAATTTATGCTCTATTTAGTTGTATTATATTATAGGATACCTTGCTGTGCACAATTCCAAGTGCCTTAGAACATTGTTTAGCTTTCTTAAGTATATAAAAATGCATATATGTATAAAATTGGGAAAAGTTACCTCAATAAAATCATTGGGAAATCCCCAGCTTTAGTTTGTCACAGTTTCTGTTGTATTCAGACAGTGCTCACTCAGTCTTTTTAAATTAAAAGCTCGTAGAGTTCTCGCCTGTACGGTAAAGCAAGACTAAGATAGCTGTTCTAATTGCCTGTTACTTCAACTCCCCCTAACTGAAAACTTCTTGTCTGTAAGATCTTGTGATTTGTATTTTTTATTTAAAATATCTAAGAATTACTCTTTAAATAGTAACTTAAAGTATATTTTTAAAACTTGCTGTCGTTTTATATCTGAGTATATTTGATATTGGTGTTTTTATTGACATTATTATATATAAAAATAAAAGGTAGTCCCTTTAGAGGTTATAATATAGAAAATAGTCCAGCTGGTGTGGCACAATGGTTAAGCATTGACCTATGAACCAGGAGGTCACAGTTTGATTCCTGGTCAGGGCCCATGCCTGGGTTGTGGACTGGTTCCCCTGTGGGGCCCCTACAGGAGGCAGGCAATCAATGATTCTCTCTCATCATTGATGTTTCTTTCTCTCTCTCTCTCCTTTCCTCTCTGAAATCAATAAAAATATATTTTAAAGAAAGAAAATAAACAAACTTCCTCATTATGCTTACTATTTAATGTATTATAAGCCAGGAGAGAGATTGGGAACATATTTTGACCAGAAGAGGAATTGGAATATACTTTTCATGTTTTCCAACCATGGTTACGAATAGTCATTTATTCTCCCTTGACTCCAGGACAAGGGCAGAGGTATGAGGGGGAAGTTGAAAAGCAATTTGTATACCATTATTCTAGACTGAAGATGTATGATAAGATTAGGAGCAAAACATTTAAAAGGAACATCTGAAAAATTGGCTCCAAGTATGCTATTAAAAATTAGCAGTACATTCCCAAGGTAGGTGTAGTGGTTCAACAATTACTTTCAATTTTTGTTCAAACTAAATCAGGTTCTACATTGAAACATTACTTTCCAAAACCCAATGGAGGTAAGAAATGGGCAGTGTTTTTATTGTACACGGTGGTTTGATGGCATAGCATTTATTGTGATTGAACGCTTCGCTGGACCTCAACTCAGACATCTGCATGGAGATGCTGCTACTGAACTGCTATCCACAGACAAGAGTCCTGTTTATGAGTTTTGGAGCTCTTGGCCCTTTAAAAGATGGTCACTATAAAGAACACATAAAATTCTAGAGAAAGGCTAAGAACCTAAAGTTTATGTGAAGTTTTCTGCTTTTTTGCTTTAAAAAGGTACCATTTCTAGAGATTTTAAGGAGGAAAAAAAATCTGTTAATGTGCTAACTTTTCATAATTAGACAAATATCCCAGGGAGGAGAGTATTGACCTAAGGATTTGCTCTTGGGTGGACTTTCGACTTTGGTTGGCCCAAGTCAGACAAGCTGGAGTAAAAGGCACTCCACATTGGGGAGAATTTGCCCCTAATTGTTCAGATAGGAAAATTCAGCAGTTCCAACTTAAGCTATGCACACCATCTTCCCCACAGTCAGTGTAAGTTCATCATGGCTTTAGTTCCGTCCCTGATTACCCCTGAAATCTTGGTAATTACCACTCTGAGTCTTCCCCAACCAATTTATTCTTAACCCTGCTACCACATGGTTCTTTGTAGTGGACAACTCTCATGTTATTTCTACTCAGAATTTTCCAGTGAGTCCCCTCTGCCTACTGGAAAACTCCCAGGTACTTAATGTAGTGCCACAAGCCACCGTTCCAAATGACTCCTTTACTTCTCACTTGGGCCAAATCAAATGAAGCTCATTGTTCCTCAAATACATTATGCACTCTTCCAATATTACAACTTTTTTCACGCCTTTCCTCCAACTGGAATTCTGTTTATTAACATCCCACCCATCCCTCTATGGAAGGATTCACATGTCTTCTCCAGCTATTGCATTTTTAAAATATTCTGTTTCTCTGCCGAAACCGGTTTGGCTCAGTGGATAGAGCGTTGGCCTGCGGACTGAAAGGTCCCAGGTTCGATTCCGGTCAAGGGCATGTACCTGGGTTGCGGGCACGTCCTCAGTGGGGGATGTGCAGGAGGCGGCTGATCGATGTTTCTCTCTCATCGATGTTTCTGACTCTCTATCTCTCTCCCTTCCTCTCTGTAAAAAGTCAATAAAATATATTTTAAAAAAATAAATAAATAAAATAAAATATTCTGTTTCTCTGACTAGACCCAACTCATTTAAATAACATCACATTAGATGTGTCTGTCCCACACCACTATCTAGTTTTCTTTGTCCCTGAGCCCAGAGCGCTATAGTTGTGCTCAGGATGGCGCAAGTAACTATGAAGAAGGAGCTGAAGATGGCAGCTAAAGGCATGGAAAACTAAAGAGCACAATGGTTAAACCTAAAAGGCCCTTGTAAACCTTCTAAAGGAGATGGAATTTATCCTTAAGGCAAGAGGGGTCAACTCAGATAACATCTCAGATGTTCCCTAATTATTCTGGCCACAGTGTAGAGACTAGATTGGAGAAGCAATATTAGACACACAAAGACCATTGATTTTTTTTAATGTTTAATTTTTCATTAACATTTAATATTACATTAGTTTCAGGTGTATAGCATAGAGTGTGTGTGTGTGTGTGTGTGTGTGTGTGTGTGTGTGTGTGTGTGTAACTTAAGTGATCCCTACTGATAAGTCTAGTGCCCATCTGACACCAGTGGAGACCATTACTGTTGCTATAATTTTGCTGGGAGGTGATGGCGGCCTCGATCAAGGTATTAACTATTGGAATGGAGAGACATAGTGAGTTAATGACAGTTGAAGTGATGGTTGCTCCTGGGAAATGAGTAAAGACTATACCCACGTGTCATATCTAGGTGGAGAGTGGTGATCCCACTTGTTGAAATAAAGAACGGCGGAGGTGAGGTTGTTGTAAGAGGGGAGTGGAGGTGCAGAGGGAGGGGAAAGAGGGTAGAAGGTGTGAAGAGGTCAGGTATTCAACTTTGTATGTGAAATTCAATGTGTTTGAATTGCCTGCCTGTTCGGACCTCCACATGCGAATAGTCTGTTGGATATGAGTCCAGAAGGTCAAAGAAAACGTCTTGGCTGCAGAGAGGAAGTTGAGAACCATCAGCACTGTAACGGAAGCTGTGGCAATGGACAAGCTCCTTAACAATGGAGCTTAAGACTGTGAAGAAATTGCTACAATGAAAATTGAATGAACTGTATTTTTGTTACCTGAATTTGTCTCCAAATCATAAAATTTTTTCATTTACATATCATCTGAGTGCTTTAGATGATATACATATTTTTAACTTAACTGGGTTTTACTGGTTAGTATAAATTTAAATAAAATGGAATAGCACCTTATGGAGGGGGTTAAGTTGTAAAGGAAAAATTATATTTGAAAACTTACATTGCCCCAAATGTAATATAGACATATTATCACAATTAAGTCCAACATAGTCTTTTTTAACGTCATCAGTGGAATGTTTGATTGGTTCTTTAAGCCAGATATTATTAAGAAATTAGTTTACATTTAGGTGCTATATTGTGTGTTTGGTTTTTTTGTTTTTTTTTTAAAAAAAGAAACCCTACCTTTAAGCATACGAATTACACTCAGCACAGTGAGATGCTCACTCTATAAGCACAGGGAAGAGGGTGATGGAAAAAAAGTAGGTAAATGTCTCAGCTAACCCTCAGTCCGATGGAATGACAGGCAGAATCCCTCAATAGGAATGTAATCCCTCAGTAGTACTAATACTAGTCTCTCATTTTCTGAAAGCAGAGTTAATTTTATAATTAAATACATGCATGATTTAACTACCCTATATCAGTAAAAAGAGTTTGTAAGCCTAGAGCTAGAATGAATGCAACCAACACATACCAAATAATACTAAAAATGCATTTTATAATTTAAAAGGCACAGTAGAGAAAATTAATTTGGATTAACATTTCCAAAAAGTGTTACCCAATGAAACATGCACTTTTTACTCTAAGAACAGAAGTCTGTAAACAGAAAGCCAACCAATACCTTGAGTTTGTGTCATTAAAAAGAGTTGTAAAGAACATACAGTCACCGGAGGCTAGACGCACGGGAAAGAGACTAAGCATGTAATACGAAGGACCTGAAAGGCACCAGAAATTGAGGGGAAACCAAAGGATTGGGATCCTGGGAAGTGGAAAGTGGGATCAAGATGCAAGCGAACAGATTCCCATGATGAAAACCTGATTTGAGGCAAAGCCTGTGTTTCCTGACAAATCCCCGATGCCGGAGGAGGCCCGGGTTTCAGGATATGGCCTTCCTGAGGCAACAATGAAGTTAGGTGAATATCGACACTCTGCTAGGAGGAGGACAACTGCTCCTTCCCACTGAGCCCTGACCACCAACCAGCCACAGATCCAAGTAATTAACACACAACTTCTCATTGAACTCAACAAAACCCTGTATGATGAGTATTAATAACATGATCTTTCCCATTTTACATTGAGGCGAGTAAACAGAGGTCCCCTCTCCCCAGGTTATACAATGAGAATGGAATAAACACCAGAAACTAATTCCAGTTACCATAATAAGCATACTCCTGTTAGTAGTATTATAAGGAAAAATGTGTGCTTCAGTGAAAAATGATGCACTTTTTAAATAAGCACTCCCAATTCTGACTTTATGTGGGCTTTGCACCTTTCTTTGCCTCTAAGCTATTTTATAATTTTGTAACTTGTGGCAAGCTGACAGTAATGAAAATAATTCTTGTCTCTAGACATGTACATAAATTCTGCCCAGTGAAGGTTCAATTGTCTTCCCTAGGTCACTGGGAAAGAAGCCAATTTTGTCCCTATTTACACATTCTTTTCAATATTCTTGCTCTATGTTTCTGTTCTTTGGATTGCCTTCTGAACTAACTGAAATATCTTACCAGTTCCCTCCTAACATGTTAAATAAAATCTTGAATATATATATTATATCTCCTTAAATTCTTGTGTAGGAATTTAATGAGTAAATGTATATAAAGTGCCTTGAATTATGTATATATATGAGTCATGATTTTACCATT